ATTGAAGAGCAATTGACTTTTTTATGTTATTTTTATTTTATACATATATAGTTTTTTTATTTAAACAAACTTAACGGCAACGGATAAGACGAGAACAAGAAATGCGAATCTCTTCATGCTGTTCAATTAATGTTTCGTAAGAGCGAGCTACTTCGTGTAAAATCGAAAACCAATCCGTGCACACACTGAATCTGAGATTTTCTATAGCGCATATTTATACTCCGGATCTCACACTTGAGACTTCTCGTAATACGCACGAACTGTCACTCGACTCTGCCACGATGACAGTTTATGCTTTTGATTAAAGCAGAGAAAAGCATGTATGAACTATTCTTTGCCTTTCCTACTTACCGACATCATGAAACATAAAAATAAAAAAAACAAGAAAACGAAAAGTAGGCGACAATTTTTGTTTTCAGAAATCAATTCTACGCATAAAAATATACAAATTTACAAAGTTCGAAAAAAAATCCAAGATGGGGGCGTTATACTGCATTTTTACCGAGAATGACTAAAAAATATATATTTTAAAATAATTGTAATTATAATTATGTATCCCTTATGCTTCTTTCTTCCTTACTACTATATTTCCCTCTATTCATCTCTTTGCTTGTGTTATATTCTCTTCCTGTCTCCTCTTTATTTCTTTCCATCTTCTCTGTTCTCTTCTCTTTCTTTTTCTTCTTGTTCTCTTTTCCGCTTCTTTTACATCTTTTAATTAACTATAAAAGATAAAAGGACGCACAAAGAAAAGAACTATTACAGGATTACAATTTTGACACGTTGTTATCATTTTCTCTGTTGATAGTTAACGTGTTAATGAATTCGTACGATTTTCCTAATATCCTAAACATTTTAATCGTTAAATTTGTGAGTCAGTTTCGTAATTGTATTGTTTTCTTTCACAGTTGTTATGAGTTTGTATAAATATTTAAGAAGAATGACTAAAAAGATTTTTTAAATAATCCTGCATAAATATAGTGGCGAAGATTGCGAAGATTGCGCAGGCATTACTATTTCCAAGCTTTCCTCTACGCAGGCTGCGTAGTAATCGTATTTCTCGAGAAGTTCCTCAGTTTTATTATCGATGTCGTCGTCTTGGTTCTCCATGAGATATTCCTGAGCAAAATCCATTTCCTCTATCGTGGAGAAGACCTTTTTGATTATCTAATATATATTCCAGTACGCGCGTACTTTTTACATGGAATGTTACATGCATTTTCAATTAGTTCTCGTGTTTGTAATTCGCTTGATTTTCACGAGCGACTTATCTACTGTCATATCCGCTTGTATAAACAATGTATGATGGGTCCACATCTATGCAGTAAGCTGTTCATATCTTCAGCAATCACCTGAAATAATGAAATTATATGTAGTCTACCAGTACACCGCGGCTTCTCCGTGAATGATCGGACACACTGTATATTTTTTATTATTTTTTAATTAGAATATCTTATAAAATCATGTAATTGAGATCAATTGAAATGTTCAGGAAATATATATCAAAGACAGATTTACAGAATCCTCCGCAAACGCGTTTTCCGGAAATGGAATCCAACAAAACATTATCATTATTGAGTTATATTAGAATTAATTATAGATTATTGAGGAATGGACTTTTTATATTATTTTTATTTTATACATATATAGTACTCATGGCAACGGAAAAAACAAGTACAAGAAACACGAATCTCTTTATGCTATTGATTAATGTTTCGCAAGAATGAGCTACTTTGTGTAAACTCAGAACCGACTCGCGCACTGAATCTGAGATTTTCTATTGCGCATATATATCGGATTCTACAATTTAGATCGGAATTGTGATCTTACGTCATGTAACAATCGCCAATTCCAATTGTCTATTGTGTTTACGAGTTTGCGGAAGCGTGTTGTGTATAATTGGTTGACGTGTCAAATTGGCAAAGTGCAGTCTGATGCTGTTGTTGATATCGCGTTCACCGGAAAATCCTTATACGTAAAAATCTGGCCGATGTTGCTGGTTTGATATAAAATGATGTACTAACTGCTGCATCGGAAACAATAATATATATATATATATATATATATATATATATATATATATATATAATAGACTCGGATACAACAACGGATCCCGTGACGTCAATTTCCCACAAGACAATAGAAATAACTTTCTTCTTTAAATGTAGATATATTTCTTAATTATATATATAAAAATGAAAC